TTCAAAATTTGGGTCAGAGCAACCTGACCTTGAGCCTTCTGTTAGTAAAATGTGGAAAAATACTTTTGGACCTGACTGTTCAGAGGAGTGGCCATCAGGTCCATCTGTAATGTCCCCAAATCCATCAGAAGTTCTTTCCTGAAGAGAAAATGACTTGTTCTTGGATCTGTTAGACCCTCAAAAGGCAGGTTGACCACCTCACCACATGCTACATCTGAAGTATTTTCACTAAGTTGGTGTAATGGCACCCCCAGGCATAAAAGGGGTTAACAGCCATTTAAGAGATATTCCCTTCCAGATATACAGGCAGCTACTTTAGACACCAATCCATCGAATAGGAGAAGCATGCAAATGCTCTCAAACATATGAATGCTGTAAACAGCCGAATAGGAAAAACCATACAAAAGGCTTACACTCCTAGCAGTTGAACTGGAACAGCATACAATAAATCCACCCCAAGAACGAGACAAGGCTCCGTGTTGAGGGTCAAAACAGGAACAGACTGAGCTGTCTTTATTGGCCTCATATACACATTTTACAGACAAAGTGCCACCCACAGGGTTTTGTGGAACATCCAATCAGAACGTACAACACAGATAAACACTCCCACCATGACATCACAATTCCTCCTCTCCAGTAGTAATCCAGAAGTAATCCAATTATCTCCAAGGACAGAGGCAAAACTCCATTAAGCACATGGCAGTAAAATACAATAAAATACACAAGGTTACATTTATTACATAAAATACAGACATGCAACATATCCCCAGATAGCTTAGGTCTGAGCACACATTATTACTGAATGGCGCTTAGACCACACACATACAGTTCAATTGCCATGGAGCCAGTGTCTTTTATTACACGAATAGGCTCCATGGCATAGCTATCTGGGTTAAATGAGTTAATTTAGTAAATCTGTGAATAAACCAGCCGTGTGTGAACTGCAGACTGCTGCCATCCAGTGTTCAGTATGAGTAGCCGCGGCCACCCAGTATAGTCAATTAAGCTGCGGTTAACCGCAGCTACTGGGCGGTCAATTGGCGGCGCTCGCCGGCTTCTGA